GAATGGGAAGAAGAGATGGTGAATAAACAAGGTGTTTTCTAGAACTGTGATACAACTTTATAAAAGACTTGATGCAAACATGACAATTCTGGATGGTGGAAATATAGATGTTTGTTCAATTATGCTTGGTACTTAGCTTTCTATTTTTTCAGAAAGTATGGATTGACGAGGGGTGAGATTAAAGATGGGGTTGGAAGGGTATAGTTAGGAGGCAATTGCAGGATTCCAGGTGAAAGGATAAGGACCTGAACCATAACCCTAAGGACAGAAATGATGTAATGGAATTATTGAAAAGCTAGAATTGACCAGATTTCTGATGATCAATCAATGTGAAGAGTGAGAGAAAGAATGAGGCATTCTAGATGAATTCAGATATGAACCAAGAGTGGCTGCAACAGCAGGGCTGCCAGCCCAGGTGCCTGGGTAGAGGAGAAGCCATTCTCCCTGTCAGGCACAGGGCAGGATAGGTCACCGGGTGTGTGGCCAGGAGGAGGTGATGCCTGTTATTTCAAGGCTTGGTTGATAACTCTGAATCTTACTATTATTTGACTTTTCCCTCATCATCTGTTTACTTATTTGCTCCTTTGCATGTTCTTTCTTACTACTGGTTTGCAAACTGTGAGTACATACACCAAGCTTTAGCTGTTATTTTTTGTCTTGTAACTAAAACTCAAGGGTTTTAGTTCTACAAAGATAGAGCCAATGAAATAGTGCAGGCTGATCAGAAACGGGTTGCTCTGAAGAAGAAGAAAGTGTCCACAGTGAAAACTCAGTGATTGACCAAGACATACTTATTACCGACTTCTTAACTTCGCTGGGAAGACTCATTTGCCATCACTAATTACATTTATTAACGTATTTAATTTGAACCTGGAGCTTCCTCCTGAGAGATGCCCCCATGGAAGCCTTCCAGGTAGCAAAACAACTCTTACAATTTGCCATCTGAGTCCTTTTTTTTGATTTGGGGTTCGTATTTGAAACCACTATTCATTTCTCTCTGTCAATGTATCTCACCTTCGATCATTCTGGAGGGCGTCCTACCCCTGGGACTTCCCAAAGGGAATTTTTAATTAAGCCGGTCAAAATTTAACCTCCAAATTGTTAAGAAAAAAATCTCTTCAATCCTTTCACATGATGCAATAACAAACGAAAACAGCTAGAACTTGTTGTAAGTATGTAAACAGACCCTGAGCACCAAAAGGACCACCACGTTTCCTGGCTAAAAGCAAGCCTGCCATTACATCTGGGCCACGTCTTCATTCCTCGTCACTCAATTATGCTTGAGGAAGAGACTAGAAGCTAATAGCTAATTCCCTACCTGGCCCCACAATTCCATCCCACTCCACAGCCCATCTCCACTGTCACTTACATCTATGGCTCATGGTTCCAGCACTAGAGTGCTGTGATCTTACTCCATGTAAACGCAGTCATGGAAGAATGGCAGTGCTGAAACTGCCTGGATCTAGCCTGCTGCCGTCCACTCCGGCAGTACGGAGAGAGAACATAAGAGAAAGAACGCTGGGCTCACACACTCAGACTTTCCTTTCCACGTTGTGGCTTTGAGCAAATCACATAACCTTGCGGAGGTTCAACTGCCTCATCCATAAAATGGGAAGAGTGATACCCACGATGTGGATTTTTCAAATGAGGATCACATGAAATGAAGTACGTGAGAGTGCCAATGCTTGTTGGGGCAGAGCTTTTGGGACTTTGATGTTTATACAAACACATAGGGATGGGATACACAGTCCGGCTCTGCAGGGCAGCAGTCGAGCCTGAGAGTCTGAATCTGTAACGAGCTCCCAGGCGATGCCAGCACTGCTCATCCATAGACCGTAACTGGAATAGCAAGGTGTTTACTGTGCTGCCCACTACAGCAGCCACTGGCCGCATTCGGTCATTTAAATGTAAATTAAACAAAGTTTAAAATTCAGTTTGTTAATCGCAGAAGCCACCTCTTCATACCCACCTGTGGCCAGTGGCTACCATATCGGACAGCACAGATACAGGACATTTCCATCAGTGCAGAAAGCCCTACTGGACTGTGCTGCATTAGGCACTATAGAGATGCTTAAAAAGCCATTCAGTAACATTCAAACAGCATTTATTGAGCACCTCCTGGGCGTATTTCTATACAGCACTGAGAAAACAAAGTCCTTGCCCTCATAACGCTTACCCTCTAGTCATTATAAGAGTTTATTATTAAATGGGCCTGGACATGGTGGCTCTCTCATAAGTAGCCTCTAACTTTTGTCCTATGACAGCCTCACAGCAGAAGTCAATACCTCATTATGTCCCCTAAAGCACAGCCATTCAAGTCATCAGAAGTGAGGAATTAGTCTGAAGATTTTACTGAAGTTTTCTTAAAGGACGCTAAAGGGAAGTTTATATTGCATAGCATAGAGGACTTTTTAATGTTATTTTTCTTTTTCCTTTTTAAATTACACTAATAATTAATGGCATATAGGATTTTTACCTGCTTTCCCCCCCACAAAAAACAAAAACACCCTGCATGACACTTCTTCCTAAGTCTCTTTCTGGTCATCTGCAAGGCCATCCACAAGGCAGGGATAGAGGCCTCAGAGGAAACCAAACCTGCTGCCACTTTGGTCTTGGACGTTTAGCCTTCAGAACTGTGAGAAAATAAGCGCCTATTGCCTAAGCCCCCCCAGTCTGCGGTCCTTTGTTCTGGCAGCCTGAGCAGAGGAAGATGGAGGAAAGAATGAAATGAGGTGAGGCCAGAAAGGCTTCCGGGACCAGATCGTGTGGACCCTTGAAGGCCACAGTGAGGGCTTTGGTTTCTATCCAAGAGAGGGAGGCAGGGGTGTGAGGGCTCTTAGAAGACAAATGACATGCTCTGACCTGGTTTCTTAAGTGTCACTCTGACTGTCAGGGTCTAAGGGTGGAAACACAGAGGAGCTACAATGATCCAGGTGACAGAGAGTGGTGGCATGGACTGGGTGGCAGCAGAGGAGTCAGGGAGGGGTGAGCAGATGCTGGATATATTTTGGAAGTGGAGCTGCCAGGGATTTGCTGATGGGATGAATATCGAATGTGACAGAAAGAGAGGAGTTACAGGTGCCTCCATGGCTTTTCATCCCCCGAATGGAGATGTAAAGGAGGCGGTTGGGTAGAAGAGCTGGGGTCCAGAAAAGATGTTCAGGCTGGTGCATTTGGAGATCGTCAGTGAATAGATGGCATTGAAAGCCATTGCACTAGATGAAATCGCCTAGGGAAGAAATGTGGGTAGAGAAGATAAGATGTCCAATGACGGTATCCTCCAAACTTTGGAGATTGGGAGCATCACAAGGATGTAGTGAAGGGGGCTGAGGCTGAGGAGAAGGGAAATGGGGACAGATGTGCTAGTCGGAGAGAATAGAAGAACATATGTGATAAACACTGAGGACTAAAACAGCTTGACACTTTGGGAAGAGGCCAAATGTAGGCAGGAACAGATGAGGAAAGCCAAGAGTGCTGCACCATGCTGAAAAGTGGGAACTTATTCCTGCAGGGAATGAAGAACAATTGAAAGGTTTTCATCAAAGGCGAAAGGAAATGCACTGAGGTGACAGTGTGATGTGCATAGACTGACCTGCAGAGACAGAGAGTTAGCTGACAGAAGGAGGGGGTATTAACGTCTGCCTGAGGACCTTATATGGGATCTGCTACAGCCAGGTCATTATAAGAATCTGGCACTCACTGTGTTAAATGAATTGGGGCAGGGAGAAACTCAAGTCAGGAAGACTAATTAGGAGTTTACCATATTCCAGACAATATGTCACCAGGGTTTAACCAAAGGTGCCATAATTAACAATGACAAATAAGGAGCCAAGAGACATAATAAAGAATCAGTAGGGTTTAGAGACAGATTGGCCACTGGGGTCAAAGAAAAATGAAGAGTCCAAGATGACTTCAAAATTTAAGGCTTCTGCCTGGGCTCACACCTGTAATCGCAGCACTTTGGGAGGCCAAAACAGGAGGGTCACTTAAAGCCAGGAGTTCGAGACCAGCTGGGAAACACAGCAAGACCCCCATCTCTGTAAAAATATTTTAAAAATCAGGTGGGCATAGTGGTGCACATCTCTAGTCCCAGCTACTGGGAGGCTGAAGCAGGAGCAATGCTTGAGCCCAAGAGTTCAAGGTTACCAAGAGCTATGATCGCACCATTATACAACAGAGAGAGACCCTATCTCTAAAAATTAAAAAAAAAAAAAAGTTTAAGGCTTCTGAAACTAAGAGGATGGCTGGGCTTGCTATAAAACCAGGAGTTCTTTTGTGGGGAAGGTGACAATTTGGGATTTACATGTAACCTATCCAAAGTGAGAAACCCAAGTGGTTGTGGCTTAAAGTGGTGAGGTATTCAGAAAGTAAGTACACAAAGTTCAGCAACACAAAGTAAATACACAAACAGCCATTCCTTACTCAGTGTCTCTAAGGACATGAAAAGTGATCCAAAATGCAGGTGATCTCAATGATCAACAATCCACTTTCCTCTGGCATGCACTCCCCTCCTACCCCACGTCTCCTCTCCCCTCCGGTCCTCCCCTCCCCCAGCTATTTCACTTCTCCTTCCCTCTCTTCCTTCCCACTCAGTGCTGTCTTGTTTAGGTTGACTTAGCCTGTCTCTCAACAAGGAAGAATCTTCCCTCTGCAGGAGAAAGCATATTATTCTATTATAATTAGTAGGCTTGGGATTGGGGGAAGTCTGTAAACCTAGTCATCCATTCCATTGTTTACTGAAAACCTATTATATGCCAGGCATACAGAAGCATGCTTGAGATATAGAAATAAACCAGACATGCAAACATTGACACTTTTTTTTTTATCCTGTCACAAAGGTGTACATTATCTGAGACAGCAGCAGGACAGCCAATAGAACTATAATTCAGGTTGTCAAAAATGACAATTTTTTGAGAAGTTTGAGAATTCAGTGATTTGTGGCAGGAGGTAGCTATGGACTTGAGACAGGTGGCTTGAGATTTAGTACTTGATTCATTCATTCAAGCATTGGATCATTCATTTTAGTCCACTGTCAACATGTATTTTTTGAGCACCTCCTGCGTGCCGGGCACGAGAGGTACAGCAGGGAACAACACGTAGCCCCTGCCTTTGTGGGGCTCACATCTGGTTGAGGAGAAGACACACGCGTGATAGATCTGCAACAGAGAGATACCAGCCATCGTGAGAATTGGATACCAGGATTTAACTTTACCAGTAGGTTCAACTCGGGCTTCTATAAGGGAGTGACATTAAAGCAAGCATCTGAAGAGTGAGTAGGAATTGTGGGGAGGGAGAAGGGGAAAGATCCCAGTAAGTGGAAACAACACATGCTAGGGCCCAAGTTGCTTTAGATTCGCATGCTTAAAGTGGGGCCAATGGTACCTACCTCATAGGATGACTTGAAGACAGATGAGCTAAACACCTGGAGTGAATAGATCACTGTTGCCGCCCATCATCCAAACATCTCTTCCCTGGGGGGATCCTAAGTCAGGTGGAAAGCAGCAGCTCACCTACCACTATGAAGCCAGAGGAAGGTAAAAGATCCCCTCCTGCCTCCCTGGCAGGTACTGCTTGGCTGTGTGGTCCAGGCTGGGCCAATCAGATGCTCCTGCCCAACCTTTGTATCTGGAGGTAAAGAAGCAAAAGTACAAGGAACAGATAGATTATTTGAGATGGCTTCACAGATGACACAAGTCTAGCTATGCAGCAGAGAAAGTCCAAGGAGCAGACACCAAGAGCAGCAGGAACCAGGACAATGATGCTGGGTGACGCTGGAGGCAGCATCCTGGGCAGATCACTCCTGTGATGTGGCCTTGTCTGTCCCTTTCCTCCCTTGCAATCCACCTGCCCTTTGAGTCTGGCTCTCCAGACATCTCATCATTTCTTTGGTCTGTCTCACATGCTTTTGATACATTCACTTTCCACTCAAGTTAGCCAGTCTTGATTTCTATTGTGTGCAGCCAGAAACCATGAGCTCAGCACCTAAAAAACACCAAGGAGATGTAAAAAAAAATAAAACATCCAAGATTTTGAATTGTTACTGGAAGAATTTGAAGTAGTGGTGGAAATAAGGTCAGCGTTCTTCCAAGTATAGAGTAGTTGCAACTACACTCTAAGTGGCTCCCAGGCAGAAATGGCTGCATTCAGGATGAATGCTTAATAAAAAGCAGCTGGAATAACAGTAAGACATCAGCCCATTCCCACCCCATCCTGCACCAATACTCCCAATATTCCTGTAGTTCAAACCAGAGCACAACCGCCAAGTCATTGGGTAGAACAGACGCTGATATATGCCCAGGAAATAGCTGAGTTTTAATTCAAAAGTCACAGGAGGCCCCCAGCAATGAAAGCTGGGCTGAGATGCAGCAGTTATGAGAGACAAATGGCTACAGAGCCTAGAAATAAAATTATTTTTTGTTTAAAAAGAAAAGTGCTTAATTGATGCAGCATGTGATGGGACATGTCCTCCAGGATTTAATCAAGTTTAGATTATCCGAATCAAATTGTGAGGCCATTTGCAAAATCGAGTTACGGGATATTGTTTTAAAAAGTGACTCATGTTCCAGGAAGTGCTATGGCACAAATGATTGTCTGCGTTATCCCTGAAGGGTGTTCTGCTTGTCATGAAGCAAAAGCTCCTGGAAAATCTGTCACATGTTATAAAACCTGGGTTTGTGATGACTGCCTCTCACAATAGGGAAAAGAAGACACTATGCCAAGATGATAAAAAAAAAAAAAAAAAGCAGATAGAGAAGGTTATAACCCTTGACCCCAGAATCTGGCCACTTCTCACCCCTTCCAGATTCATCTCATGCCTGAGTTGCTGCAATAGTTTTCTGACTTGTCTCTGTTAAAGGAAAAGAAACAAAGACAAAAGTTAAAAAAAACCCAAAGCCAAACAACCAAAACCGCAACAACAAACCGAAAGCAACCCGAATTCCCCGAAAACCCGGCCGGAAAAAAAAAACCAAAGCAAAAAACTTAACAACAACGAAGGAAAATAAAACGAACAACCAAAAAAAAAACAACAAAAAAGGCCGGTTAATCCAAAAAAAAAGAAAAACCAAAAAAACCAAACAACAAAAAAGTCGCCGGGGAGAAAATTCCCCCCTTTGTGGCTTATAAACTTTGCTGTCACTGCTGTAAGGCAAGCTTCTTACCACCTGGCTTGAAGTCCCCTGGACTGCGATCTGTACTTTCTTTTATTGCATGGCACAAACTTTAAAATCTGATCTGATTTCATTTTTGACATCTCATCATTTCCACTCCGCTTCTTTATGGTATATTCTCATCACAGCTGCTGGAGTGATCCTTTCAAAACCTGAGTCAGATTATGTTTCTGATCAAAATCCTCCAGTGGTTCCCCACCTCAACTCAGAAAAATATCAGAGTCCTTACAATGGTTTGCAAGACCCCTTGCTCAACCTCAGCCATCCTGGTCTGCTTGCTACTCCTTGAACGACCCCAAGCATGCTCTTGTCTGGGGGCCTTTGCTCGACCTGGAACACTCTTCCCCGAGATGCTCCACTTAGCTGCCTCCCTCAACCTTCTGTAAGTCTGTGCTCCAACGTCTCCTCCTCTCTATTTAAAATTACAACTTGCTGCTCCGTCTGCACCCTCCCGAGCTGTTTCCCAGCATGTGTCCTAGAACACTACATGCTTCACTTATTATCACGTCTACACATGGTTGTCTGTCTCCCCTGATAGAATATAAGCCCCAGAATCACAGGATTCTTGTATATTTTGTCCACTGCTATAGCCCCATAGCCTATTATAGTATTTAGCACTTAGTAGTTGCTCAATAAATATTTGTTGATTAAATGAATGAATGTCTTGTGGGGGGGGAGGGTGAGAAATACAGCAGGCTAGAAAATAGAGAAAGCCTTCCCGAGTATTCTAAAACTCTAAGCCTTGGGGCAACAGAAAGGATAGGGTGTAAACAAAATGGAAGAAACAGGAAAGGGAGAGGGTTTTCTCTACGTACGAGAAAAATATTGGAGAGGATTGAAGGAAAGTGATAAAAGCAGAGAGTTTGGTGAGTTCCCGGGGAGTGGAATTTATGCTTCGTGGACAGGGAAGCCTCAAGACGCCGGAGAGGGGAAGCCTGGTTGCTGCTTCTACGCAGAGATGACCCAGAACAGCATCTCAGCGAGGTGCGCAGCCCAGGAGGGAGCAGAGCAGCAGAGAGAGGTTCGAGACCAAAGACGGCCACCTGGACAGACATAAGGAGGTCTCAGTGGCCACCGTGCGCCAGCCTTGGCAGTACGTAGCCAATCCCCACTGCCAAATCTTCACACAGCCCTGAGAAAGTAGAGTCATCTCTAAAGACTGATTGAGTTTCCTGCTTCCCCCACTGGAGTAAAGCTAGAAATCATATTGAAGTGGTGTAAAAATAAAATTATATTTTCTGCATGCCAGAGTTCAAGCTTGCCTCATTTTATTTGATGTGAAAACAATCGCTAATATTTTAAGGAATGAAATGAATTTTAAAGAAATTCTTGGTCCTGTGCCGGGCAGAGTCCAACTTTTTTCCCCCTGGGAGTCTAGGATAAGCATTTCGTATCCTCTGCTGACCTTGTGTGTGTGTGTGTGTCTGTAGGAAAATTAAAGGCACGTGAGGCTGCTGCACACAGCTGAGTAATTGCCATGGCAACCCAAGGCCCATCACCTGAGCTTTATTCCAAACTGATTTATCAGGAGCGAATTGCAGACAGTCTCGGAAAATGGAAAATTCATATTCTCTCTTTCTCCTCCTTTCTCCTGTCTTGATATTGAAGTTCCAAAAATGGCCCATCCCTCCTCTTCCTAAAATTATTCCGAATGCCTTCTTTTCTTTCTCAGATTTGCTGTCTGATTCATGGATCCCTGTGCTCGAAGAGGTGAGGGACTGGGATAAAATTAGCACGCAGCAGCTCCCTTGCGTGGTCACCCCACGTAGCTCACACTGGCACGGCTGGCAGAATGACAGTGTGTCCCTGACGAGGCCACTCTGGGATGAGCACATCTCGGGGCCGTTGAAGGGGATTCATGACCCCGTCACTCTGTTATCTGGAAGGATCATAACCGAGATAGAGGAGTTGTCATGTTTCTGGACTTGAGGTTGTGTTAATGAATAAATGATGACTTTCTGACGAGATCTTTATGGGTTTTTTTTTCCCCTTGCTAATATCCCTTAAAGTACAATAAGTCAGTAAACATGAAATGATTTGGAATATGGTTCAGGTGATGGGTTCTTTGGTTGCCATGGTGATTATTCAGCTATGAGTCAATGTCCCTTCCTTCTGTAAACAGTTCCAGCACCTTGAGAAGCATAAAAAAAATCAACTACCGAATGTGTCTAAAATGTTTACCTCTGAGACCCTTCCCCAGGATCTGTAATGCTGGATATAGGGCCCAGGAATTTGTGTGTTTCACAAGCAGCCCATCCCCAAGAACATTCTAGTTCAGGTTGTCTTCACACCACACTGTAAGAAACAGCCCGCCCAGAAGTTTTCCTCATGAGTAAGGTTAGGGAAATGTCACTCTTTTGTGACTGGTAGAATGTCACAGAGTGGATGAAATATCAATGAGCAACAGCTGACTTTGGGGTAGGAGGTCCCCACCGCAGTAGGGTCTCCTACTTCAGCCATGCACCCCTGGGCTAGTTAAGTCACCTCAGTTTGTTTGCTCGTGTGTATTTCCTTCATGCAAGAGATACCTAAAATGCTTATGAATGAATAACTGATACAAAATTACTAACCCTGAATATCAAACAAATACACAAGCAAGCCAAAAAAAAAAAAAAAGTTAATTCCAGACAGTTTCATATTAAAATAGACATTACATTTTTTTAGAAAACTTGGAAAAAGTATTTTAGGAAAAAGACTCCCATTCTCCTGTGAAAGAAAAGCCCAATCTCCTACCTCGATTCTGAGATTATATAAGAAATGGATTTGGGGCCAGGAGTGATGGCGCACACTTGTAATCCCAGTTCTTTGGGAGGCTGAGGCAGGAGGATCCCTTGAGGCCAGGAGTTCGAGACCAGTCTAGGCAACATAGCTAGATTCTGTCTCTACAAAAAAAAAATTGTTTTGATTAGCCAGGCATGGTGGTGTGCACCTGTAGTCCCAGCTACTCTGGAGGCTGACATGGGAGAATCACTTGAGCCCAGGAGTTTGAGGTTGCAGTGAGCTATGATCATGCCACTGCACTCCAGTCTAAGTGACACAGCAAGACCCTGTACCTTAAAAAGAAAAAGAAATGAATTTTGTATCTCCCAGTCCCTAGGGTTGCTGTAATAAGAAGTAACATAGGTTTTATAAAAAGTTTTCTTACTTTGCTGTAAGGGCATATGCATATACATTTTGGTGTGGAAGACTTAATACCATTACATATATAGTTAAATGGGCCACAGAAAAGTGAATGGAATTGAATTTACTGTTGGAATTGAATTAAATCTGTTTCTAATTGTCCCTTGGAAAAGAGCAAACTTATGGTTTGGTTATACCTTACAGACAAAATTATGGTTTTCAAAAGGCAAAAATATTGAATCACGGACTTTTTGGTTGGGAAAAGACCTAAAAGATCCTCTATTCCTATTACTTACATTCATAGATTTAATTGTCACATCTAGGCAAAATTCCCAGAACTACACAAATTGTTGTGTTGCACTGGAATTTTGTCATGCTGGCTATAATCTGAAATAGGTTCACTGGAATTCAAAGATCTTTGTCAGGCTCAGCACCATGGCTCATGCCTATAATTCCAGCACTTTGGGAGGCCAGGAAAGGAGAATTGCTTGAGGCCAGGAATTCAGGAACAGCCTGGTAAAATAGAAAAGCCTGTCCCTACAAAAATTTTTTAAAAATCAGCCAAGTATGGTGGCACGAACCTATAGTCCCAGCTATTCCTACCCAGAAGGCTGAGGTGGGAGGATCACTTGAGCCCAGGAGTTCGGGGCTGCAGTGAGCTATTATCATGCCACTGCAATCCAGCCTGGGCAACACAGTGACACCCTGTCTCAAAAATGAAACAAATATCTTTAACAGTCAGGTTCGTTTTATTTGTTGGTTTCTTTGTTTTTTAGTATTTAGATTTGACTCCTATAATTCAAACTCCATTTTTAAAATTCGTTTTGTTTTGTTTTAGGATATGTATTTGGTGGAGGGAGTTGTTTGAAATACTAGCAAAACAAACTGATACCAGAACTTTAACTAAAAAGCATTTTTTTAAGGAATAATCACTAGTGATTATTACAATATACTTTAAACCCAATATTTCTGTATTGTCTGTTCTATATGATTATTCTTGCAAGAATGGGCACCCCAAGGACCTAAAAGATAGGCATTTATCAAATGAACATTAAATTATGTATTCACTCTTCTTACTAATGCAAAGAGTGAACTAATAATGCATATTAAATGTAAGCTTGGAAAGTTAAAACAACACAATTTTCTTGCTCATCCTACTTAATTAGAAAATCCAATTCCATTCTCATTCCCTAAGAATTCTGTTATTTGAAGTTTAACTACACTGTGTTTTAAAAAGTGAACTCAGGATACTTATTTTGGCTGTCAACATTACCTAAAGAGATTAGGATAAATGAAGTACTATGTCTCTGCCTTCAAGTTCTTGTAAATGCTCCCCCTACTTTACAATGGTTTCTTACCTCTTTTCATTGTCCCACTTGCTCCTTGATTTATTATCATGTTCCAGAACAATCCCAAACGAGGAGGCAAAAAGCCCTTTCAAAGGTGCAAGTGGTCTAGTTCAGCTTGTTCCATCCCTGCCTACCCGCCCCCCCCACACCCCCCAGCAGTGGTCTCGAGCCAAGCCTTTCAACATTCTGGGCAATTTCTTCATCTGAAACATAAAGTGTAAGGGTGCAACACTCTGCACAAGCTCTTCTGGCCCCAAAACACTATGACTCCAATCATTTGGTGTTTGGCTTTTGTGGGCACCCCCAGAATGTGGCCAAATGAATAGATTCTACCAGCCATCCATGGAGAAGAAGAAACTCCCTGGCCTCTGTGAGCTTCCCTGAACTTTTATCCAATAATTCACCTTTTTTGATGAAAGAACCAATCATGTTGCCTAGCAACTAGTTGAGAGGCACAATGGTTGAAGTTTCTGTGTAAAATTGTTTTAGTGGAAAATATTTCAACTTTTACCAATTTTTTTTTTTACATAAACCCAATAAGCAACACATTGTCCTAAATAACTGATAAAGCCTACTGCTTCTTTTCTCTTGACCTCTCCACAACACCTAATGTAACCCTGGCTAAGAAATCATCTTGGATGAATAGATTTAAGTATCCTCTTTCTTATACTTCTTGTTGATCTCCTCTAATGCTCTGAGCCTCACCCACATGATGATATGTCCCATTTAGCGCCAGGCATTGCTGGCTATTTTATATAAAAAATAAAATTTTATAACACCCATGCTGCACAATTAACTCAGTGCCTGAAGTCATGCAATGCCATCCTCTCATGAACTTACTCACGTTTTTTGAGTAAGCAAACATAAGATATTATGTCTTTATATGGTATTTGAGTTCTACTGACGGAGAGATACACAATATAATACAGTGCCTGTCACACAGTGGGCCTTTAGTGTTTGTTGAATGAGTAAATGTCACCTAAATATTCTTCCCAAGATAGTCCCTCCCCCACTGCCGGCTAACATCCCTTCACTTGCCCGCCATTCCTGCCCCAGCACTTGGAAGAGCACGATCCACCACATAGGCCCAAATTCTACAATCTTTCTGCCATCCATATAGTAAATAGCCCTTATTACTCTCCCAGCATGCTTTTGTTATGCTCATGTGGACTTCAGCGTAAACTAGTCCCTGGCTGGCAGTGTCCTCTTCCTTTGAGTTGGAGCTGTTTATCTAGAACATAAAAAAAGTGGGGGGGGGGGGGGGGGGGGTGGTATATACATACATAATGAGTGAGATGTGCACCATCTGTGGGATGGTCATGATGGAGGTTTATTTTTCCAGGCCCTGCAGTGTGGCAGCCAGGACTTTCCAATATCTAAAACCAAACTTCAGTCTCTCTTTTATTTATTTATTTATTTATTTATTTTTGAGACAGAGTCTCACTTTGTTACCCAGGCTAGAGTGAGTGCCATGGCATCAGCCTAGCTCACAGCAACCTCAAACTCCTGGGCTCAAGCAATCCTATTGCCTCAGCCTCCCGAGTAGCTGGGACTACAGGCATGTGCCACCATGCCCGGCTAATTTTTTTTATATATATCAGTTGGGTAATATATACTTAGTTGCCAATTAATTTCTTTCTATTTTATAGTAGAGACGGATCTCGCTCTTGCTCAGGCTGTTTCAAACTCCTGATCTGAGCAATCCTCCGCCTCAGCCTCCCAGAGTGCTAGGATTACAGGCGTGAGCCACCGCGCCCGGCCTTCAGTCTCTCTTTTATTGAAATACTTTTCCCATCAAAGCCCACTATGCCTAGAGTAGCATTCTTCCTACACCATCTACAAAGACCTTTTGCTCCCAAGATTACCTTAAAATCTTCTTTCAGGGATTACTGACCTCAGCAAAAAGTGATGGGAAGTGCAGACTTCATGAGACAACTAGACACCACACCCCTGCACACATCACCTCCCATAGTGGGAGGAATAGTGTCCTCCAAATAATCATGTCCACCTGGAACCTCGGAATGTGACTTACTTGGAAATAGGATCTTTGCAGATATATTTCATTAAATTAAGGTGAGGCTGTATTGGACAAGGGTGAGCCCTAAATCCAATGACCAGTGTCTTTATAAGAAGAGGAGAGGACACCGACACACAGGGAGGAGGCACATGTGACGACACAGACAGAGACTGGAGTGGTGCAGCTACAAGCCAAGGATCGCCGGCGACCTAGGGAGAGGGAGGAGGGACTCCTCCCTAGAACCCTCACAGAGAGCACGGCCCAGCCGATACCTTGACTTCAGACTTCTATCTTCCAGCACTGTGGGGTCCCCAAACAAAATTACATTAC